TAGATTATACAGAAAACGTGATGAATATGAAGGTATAGAGAATGAGAGTTACATGAACGATATCGTTTCCTCGATATCTGAATAATCGGGCCATGCATGTGACAACGAAAGGCAGATGTGTACACGATAATGAAAACGATAATAACGATAATACCTGTGCAAGAAGCGGCGTCTCTGTGCTGTCAGCGGTTTGGTAGAGCCGGCAATTTGCGCTTGCTCTGAAGAATACGTGCCCAAAAACGAAAAAAGATAAAGAAGACAACGTAAATTGTCATTATAATGAGAATGACGTCGAAACTATACACGCAAAACGGAAATCATACTGTGTCCCAACTGTATATACAGGGTGGACCAGAATTTGCGATACAGCCAGAAAGATGTGTGATTCTACTTCTCAAAATAAATAGAAATGATTTAATAACTTTTTTTCCGACTAAGGGCGCGATTACGATAAACTTTACGTAACGGGACGCGACGGAACATGAAGTGACGTAACGTAAATTTGGCGTTTGAGATTATATTTGATATTACGATCACCGTAACGTGCCGTAATAATGAATTCTGCTATGAGGCATTATCAATTTGTAAATTTAATTTTGGCCGGGTATTTGTATCTTCAACTGTGGAAGAGGAAACAAATACGAGCCATTGGTGTGAGAGATAGTTTTCGAAGAAGAATTCAGTTTGGTGACGGGCATAACCTGGCATAACGTTGATTGGCTGAAAGTGTCACGTAAACAGTCCGACTTGACGGAACGCAACATCTAAACTTAACATTGGCAAGCTTCACGTCGCGTTAAATTCCGATATTTCACGTCACGTTACGTAAAGTCGATCGTAACTAGCCGCATATAAAACAATGTTTTAGGTTTTGTGTCACTTCACGTCCCTTCGCGTCCCGTTACGTTAAGTTCATCGTAATCCCGGCCTAAAGCTCCGTTTCCGAGAAAAATAAGTTTGATTATCTGTCGAGTAGATTATCTGTCAAATTCGACAGATTCGATTTTGTTGCAGGCCGCTGTTGATTTTTTTTTTCAAGCACGATATAATATCTACTATGAAGATTATCACACGTATTATTGTACTACTGACATGGTATACAATCTAAACATCTTGTTGTCGTACAAAATACAGTTTCATTAATAATTTCTTGTGTTTAAGCGATCAGTATGTACTTCCGGAAGAATATTATTTTCTGCACTATCACGAACTCGTCGCCCAGGACCACAATGCTCATGTAGTGATCGAAAAGAACCGTCCTCTCTAAGAATTCAATCTGCCCTTGCAATAACTCATTTGTCTGAGTACCAAAAATTGGGAATTGCCCACGATTATAATTTGCCAGAACATTTCCGTCACATATTACTAATATACGAAATATATCCGTATCTTCTTCGTTGGTATATCGCGCCATATCATTGGTTTAAATGAAACTAGTATTGTATCAGTTTAGGATTAATATATACTATGTTAGATAGCCTAATATAATAATACATATGATAATACTCATGGTACATAACATCGCATCGTACTTACAGGAAATTATAATAGCGACCTATAGTGAAATCAAATTTGTCAAATTTCAGTCAGGTATACTCGGTAAACTTTTAAACTCATTTTTTTCAAAAACGGAGCTTCAATTAAAGAAAGGTTATTGAATCATTTCAATTAATTTTGTGGCGTAGAATCTTTTTTTTTTTAATTGTATCACAAATTCTGGTTCATCCTATATATGTACATAGTAATATACAAGGTGTTTCAGAAAGGGTGAGTTGGCTATATGTAGTTCTAATTTTCTCATCAAGAGAAACCAAAAATTCGTATAACGATAGTTCTTAAAACACTTGGTTAAAAAATTAATGCCAAGTCAAGATTAAAAAAAATTAATTTAATTATTAAATTAAATTTAATTATTAAATCTACTTCACTCTTATCTGTCGTCATCATTTAAAAGCAACTTTTTATTCAGTTGTGATTAATAACGAATAATAACTTTTACAAAGAATAGAAGATAAATGTCGACCGAAATGCAATATTCCAGGAGTGTTTGAACGCACAAAATAATCTATGATGCGAAAAATCCAAAATTATATACTATACACAATAGACATTTTGAGAATTTCCTTCATAATCTTATAGGTTTGATTTTTTTTAATTTCGGAAATCCATTTAATTAAAAAGATATTATTATATGAATTACGTTAAACATCGAAAATAATTCTTTTAATCTTGATATTAACTTTTTATCTAAGCGTTTTAGATACTATTTATACCTCTTTGTTTATCTTGATGAGGGCTGACTATCTGGCGTCTAAAAAGATTTTGTAGAGAGCTTTTAGGAGACAATGAAGGCTCCTTTCGTTTTTTTCTTAATGGAACGAGATATAAATTTTTGTTCAGATATCTCTCGTCAAAATTAATAACATTTACTTGAAATATTTCTCTTTATTCTATATTGTCAGAAACTTATGAAAAAGAAGAAGATATCTTCCTTTTCGAAAAGAAGATATTTTCAAAAGATTTTCGAAAGTTAATTTCGGGGCAATGTTGAAAGATATCAAAATAAACCAATCCGAAACCAAAATAAACGTATTCTGATTTGAAAAATATTTTATTAAATGTTTTAAATAGAGAGAGAAAGAGTCTACAAATTTTTGAACACATATTAATGCGAACATTGTTTTGGATATCTGACATTAATAGAGTAAACGATCTACAAGCATTATGTATTCTTATTTTTATATCTTCCTTCGTTGTAGGAACAATAGCCATCACTTTATGTTTTATGCAACTTCACGAAAAGAAATCTAATGGCATTAGATCTGGTAATCAAAATGACACAAGTCTACAACAAGTCTACTGCGTCCAATTCATTTATTTCCAAATTTTTTTATGTCTAATAAAATAAGTTTCTAACAAAGTATGCTAGAATCAGCAAAGTATGCTACTGTGATGTTGAGATCATATCTAATGTCTAATGGGATATTTTTTGCGTGGAAGAACATTTATTAAATAGTCACCATACATTTAATATGCTGAACAATGTTGAAATGAAAGAACTCGCAGCCAATGAGGATTCTCATTTGTGCAGTATTGAAAGTTATGTCTATTCAATTGGCCAGTGTTCTAAAATATAGTTTCGTCGGAAGAAAGCACCAACAATAAAAGTGAATTGCCTTCAGTAATTATATCAAACTACGTACAAAAAGTACGTACAAAACTACGTACAAAACTACGTACAAAAAGTAATTCGATTTTAAGTTACATCCAAAAAGAAATTGAGGATGTGATACGGATGATATTTAAGCTATTTTAATATTCTTCTAATTGCTGTCAAAATTGCAGCAGTGTTAACATTATTTGTAAAATTTTTTAGCTTGCAACACGCTTCGTTACCAACGAGAACAATTTCTCGAAGACAATTTTCTCAACGACTCAAAAAGTTTTTCATGTGGAAATGCTCAGCGAACATTTTAGCAACTTGTCTATAGTTGCCATTTACCTAACATTAATAATGTATTGACAGTTTCGTTAAAGTTTGCTATTTCAAACGTTTAATTTGTAAAGAAAATTTGATAATACTGAGAACCTATCTACTGTTCTAATCAATATATTATCGCTTTATTAATGAAATTTGAAATTGTTGATATCTTGTAAGAAATAACCTTCTCAATGCTGAACATATTTATAAACAGATTTAAAATAACTTAAAATACGTTTTTAAATATGCATTAAATAATTTCTTTACTATAATAATATAATGTAATAAAAAGAGATATCTCAAGTATATATTATTAATTTTGGTGAGAGTTCTCTTGATAAGAAAATTATACTTCGTTCCATTTAATAAAAAATAAGGAAGCGAGTCTTTTTTACTCCCCACAAAAATCTTTTTACCAGCCAAATAATTAGCCTTTATGTTTTATTTAAAAGAAAATCAAAGTCCACATCTTCATTGGTTCCGGAGGAAACAGCTTGTAACAGGTTATTTGACCCACCCTGTATATATGTTCGGAGAAAATACAGAGAAATGACATCGAGACATGCACGAAGGCATTTCGCATAAATGATATATGTGTGTGGGATATATATGTACACAATGAATTTCTTGTTTGAATTTGTATCGCGAAATATGACTATTTTAATGACAATGACAATGAATGACGATCGTAGAACATTTCGACCGGTGGCAGTTCCCAGAGCCGAAATTCATATTTTTCTTTATTTCGAAAGTAGTTTTATTCATCGATCGTCAGAATTGTCCGAATAACATGCCCTCGAATCCGCCATGTGTCGAGATGCTCGTGAGTTCGTGAGAAATAAAAGTTCTTCGATCGAAACCCCAACACGACTAATCGAAAACATTTGATGTATAAGCAGAACGAACAAATGGTCACTAAATGGCGTAGGTTCGATCTCGCAGAAGCGCGTCGCGAACGAGACCGCCTACGAAGCGAACAGAGAAGGAATAGAAACGGTACTTTGCCTACCATGCTGTTCACAACGTTTCAATATGCATAGGACACGAAAAGAAGCGAGAAAAAGAACTGAGTGTATACGTTTTCAGCACGTCCGGCGGATGCGCCATCTCGATCGATTTCTCTGGTTCCACAACTTTTGCAAGTTATTTCAGATTACGCGGTGTTTTAATCTGTGAAAGCCAGATAAATCGCGACGCGATTAACCGTAAACAGTATAAAATCCGTTACTCACACGGTAATCTTACGAGGAAGTTTACTTTCATGGCATGTTTTACAAACGATAATTTACCGAACACACCTCCTCCCGCACTTCGAGAAGGTACAAGATCAGAACAATTCGAATTTCCTTCACTTAAATTTTCACGATAGACTTGACGCGATGTGACACGTCTGCAAACGTGTGTTCATTGGTACTGAACTTTCTATTGATGGTGAACGTACTGTTTAAGGTTAACGTCCCTTCGCACGACAAGAAACTGAACTTGGATCGTGCGAATAATCCACACGATAGCGACATACCTGTCGAGGCTTGACCGGCGGTGGCGGACGAGTGGAGGGCCCGAGGACTGCGGCTACCGTAATTTGGGGTTGATGATGAAGTGAGGGTGGCTGCTGCCAAGGCAGCCCTGTGCGTCCCAATGTTCCCTGCAGTTGCACCTGCTGCTGCTGCTGCTGCTGTTGCATTTGCTGCTGCATTTGCTGCAGATGCTGCTGACTGCTGCTGCGCTCGACTACTGGCGTAACTCGAGGAAGCGTTGAACCGACTGAAGAAGTCTTCCGAACTGTCTGTGAAATTAGCTACTGATTACTCGGCCCTTACTCAACGTTTCCTTTTTAACGCACTGAGTCGCGACGTACTGATTTGATATCGCGAAAAACGAGTTCTGGAGAAAGAGAAGTAGAAAGAGAAACAAAGAGATATTAAGAACAACTACATTACCTGACTTTACTGGCCATATTTCCAACAGATACTTCAGCACAGCGATTGGTTGCTGAAAATCTAGCGGAGGTCCAGTTTCTTCCGAGTGTAACATCAACACCGGACCGAAACAGACGGCAAGACTCGCCGGTGACATTTTATTGCACTGCGACACTACCATCGCCAGATGATCCAGCAAATAGATTAATGTGCACTAATGGAAATCGATAAAAACTTGTAATTAAAATTTGATACTGATTTGAACTAACAGTTTACACACTGAGAAAAAAATATTAATTGATACCATTAAAATTATAGTCACTCTCAGCGCTAGTTATATCTTTTTGTTCTAACAAGAAAAAGTAGTAATGTCAATATGCATATATAAAATTATATTCCTACTAACACTATAATAACACTTATGCACATTAATAATCACTAATATAAATCACTAAGACCTGGTTGTTCCAACTTCTTGGTATGTTAACTGATAGTTAAATGATATGTCTGTCTTTGTCTAAGTTGAAGGAAAAACAAACCAAGAAGTTGGAACCAAGAAGTTGGAACAACCGGCCATAAATGATTCTCCTGACTATGATTCTTTCACTATATGATTATAATTATAAACACCAATCACTTTGTTCTCGGTGGTATAAAGAAAAGTATGTTACTTATTTTTCCTTCATGTTAGGATATAATTGAAGAGATCAAGATGAATATACGTACCCTGTTAACTTTAGGCAGACAATCTAGTATACTGAACATAAGCTTAGCGTTGCCCTGCGGGTCGTCCGGCAAACAGACGGCCAGTGCGTCGACCATCATTTGGTAGAGGCACTTCGTGAAGAGAGGTTCCGGAAGTTCTCGTAGATAATCCTTCAACACGCCTGAGACAGAGCAGTGCTTGGTTATTTGGACCCTCAAGTAGATAAAACTCGCGTATCTCATAGCACATTACCAGTGATGACATTGATATCCGGCACATTGTCAGGCGAAAGATTCACCGAACGCGCGTTTCTCTCGAAAGCTTCCCTAAGTATCCTCTTCTTAGTCGCCGAACCGCAGAGTCTGTACAAACCTGTTGCACGGAATAACGCACCGTTCTTATCGCTCTCTCGATTTCAAACCGCTCGATACTCACCGATGATATCGAGGCCTCTTCTCTCCACCTCCTCGACGCAACGCCACACGATTATCGGAACGTTCGGCATTCCCATCGCTAGAGCCGTGGAAACTCCACCGGGAACTCCGCCAGTTTTAGTCTCTCGACTTACCTATAAGACCAACAAGTATGATGTCTCTCCAGACCAGGAAATATAAGCAGGAAATTTTAGAACTGAAATACTAGAACGGAAATACTGAGACCAGAAAACTACAAAACAAGAAAATTTTGGTATTTCAAAAGTCCCAAATATTATAAGAATTTCTACAATAACTTTTATTATATATCGCGTATGTTTGAAAATATAATATTATTATTGAGATAAATATTTTGCCTTTGTGAATACTCGGCTCTTAGAGTTTTTAACCAATTTTCATCAAAGAATTTGATATATCATAAAATTAGGAATTGATACAGCACATTATTTTAAAAACTCACCACTGTATCCAGATCAACCCCGAAGAGAGGCGCTACCCTCGTAGCTAAGGATATAACCGGCAGACCTCTTCTACGGAAAGTTTGTTGGGCGTCGGTGTATCGCAGTCTTAAGTAGATTGTGCCACGTGGCTCAACTTTGACGGCTAGCTGATGCACCGGCGACTCCTTCAGCAGAGTTGCCAGATGCACCGATCCTTTGTAACAGAGTTTATGCCTGTACTGTGGGTCCCAAGAATATACGAGCAGATCCAACTGCCGATTGCCTACGAGATCCAGCTCGAAGGTTTCGTCCCAGTCAAACATCAAGTCGCCGGTTCGTACTACCGTCCGCGCTTTGTGCACCCTGTCGCACTCCAGCACACAATACAAGTCTCTCAAGCCACAACTAGCTGCAAATTTTTTTCGTAAATTAGCATATATTTGCATATATGAAATTTTATGGAAGAGCAATATGAATCCCGAGATTGATCAGATTCTAAGTGATGCTCCAAGCAATATCTAAATGATATTACATGATATTGAATGATTACATGATATTGATGATTGAATTACATGATATTAAATGATATTGAAAAAACCTCTCGGAAAATTCAAATTTAACTGGTCAAATTCAATGAGAAATAAAATAAAAGCAGTTTTTAAAACTTGTACGACATTTGCTAATATCAAACGACATTTACAAGTACGATCGGTTCATCGCTTTATCATGCTTACCTAAATTTGGTTGACCCGAAGGAGTGGAAGGTGTAGTGGCAGCCGATGAGGTCGTAGTCGATCGAAGACCGCGTCCCGCTAAAAGATGGACCCACAATAATCCGCTGACCCCACCTGCCAAATCGCCACCACTATTCTCCCCGAGTGAGCTCAAGAGCGAGCTTGTCGAGCTCGGAGTGCCTACAGTTGGCGGTTTCTCTATTTTATACTTGAGGAACTCTGCAAAAAGAAACCAATCTTTCATATTTTTCTCTCCGGTGACTTGGGCAGGAATTCCTTTAGCATCTTCCAAAGCATGATTTCTACCTTTATAATCTAATAAATTATACATTAGATTTAAAAAATACACATTTATATTTATCTATTTAATATATTTGTCATTTGTATTGGGGACTTGAATAAGTTCTCGCTGTTTTTTCGTGAAAATGAATGCTTTATTTAAAAAAATTAGTAAAAAACATGTCATTGAAAGTATTGTCCATCGCTAGCCACTACTTTCTCCCATCTTTCTGGCAGCATACGAATACCATGTCGAAAGAACGACTCATCTTTTGAGGTTATCCACGAATTGACCCATTTTTTGGCATCTTCATAAGAATGGAAGTGCTGCTCAGCCAGGCCATGAGTCATCGATCGGAATAAGTGGTAATCGGAAGGAGTAATGTCCAGTGAATACGGCGAGTGGGGTAGGACTTCCCATTTGAATGTTTTCAAGTAGATTTTGACTGGTTTTGCAACATGTGGCCGAGCGTTGTCATACTGCAAAATTACTTTGTCGTGTCTCTCCTCGTATTGCGGCCGTTTTTCCTTCAATGTTCGACTCAATCGCATCAATTGTAGTCGATAGCGATCTCCCGTGATGGTTTCGTTAGGTTTAAGGAGCTCATAATATACTACACCCAGCTGATCCCACCAAATACAGAGCATGAGAGTAGAGAATCAGAGCAATGGCGATAAACACGATTCACATGTTCGCTTTGGTCAGTTCAGCACCCATTTTCCTTCCTTTTGAATTTTGCTCATTGCATGTAAACAATCAGAAACTGCAACATTTAGTGTATCAGCCAATTCCTTGAGTGTTTGAGATTGATTTTGGCCCAATAATACTTGCAGCTCGACGTCTTCAAACCTTTTTGGTTGACCTGAACGTTCCCTGTCTTTCGCATCAAAATCACCACTTTTGAATCCTCAAAATCAATCAACATGTTGTTCCTAATGGAGCAGAGTCACCATAAATTTCCACTAATATCTGATATGCTTCAGCTGCAGCTTTCTTTATATCAAAGTAATGAAGAAGAACATATCGAAAAAACAACGTATTGCATTCCATTTTGAATTGATTTAAAAACAATATCACTGCTTGCAAAAGTAAACCTTGGTGGACTGAATTCTATTGAAAAACGTCTAACCTTTAATATAGCATAAGTCCCAGCTGTCATAGTTCATATTTACAGCTGGAGCTATCTAAATGCGAACAACGGAAATTAACCAAAATACCTAATATTTTATAAATTCAATATATAGTATCAGATTATATATAAAGTAGTATATCCATCTCCTTTTATAAATAATTTCTTTTCACTTCAATAAACTACAGAAAATTCATTAGTTGTTTCAATCGCCGAAACGGGAATAAGAAAGTCATGAGATAAATGAATAGTCACCTGCAGGATTAATATCTAGCAGTCTTTGATCCTGAGTTCTGGTAGGCGTTGGAGTAGGTATGCTCCTCGTGGACTCCAAGTCCAGCAAGTTCCTAATTCTTCTGACCGAGGTTGCGCGTTGGCTTGCGGAGCTGCTCAACGAAGGTTTCTGGGTCGCCAACGACGAGCGCGCGCTCGATGCCACCGAGGCTGGCCTTGGATTCGTTGCTCCTCGATGGCACGTCGAACTGATCGCCGTCGACGCTCTCAGATTCGCAAGATTCACCTGTTGGGCTGACGCCGATCTCGTCGATAGGCGATCGAGCGTGCTCGAGAGCGGTCTGTACGCACCGTAACTGCCATAGTCTCCCTACGTAATACAGAAAACAAGTTAAAGAAGATAAATATATAATAAAGGTTGTATCCTTTGGAAATCCAAGATTCATCATCATTAATCGTTAACTACGAACATGAATGAACCCCCGCTCGACAGAAATTTATATTTATCGAGTACATGCGTGCAAAATGTGAGTTCTTTCGAAAATAATTACACTACACAGAGAAAAAGAATTGGTTGAATTAACGCGACAATGGATGAATCAAACGCGTTTCGTTTGAAAAAAAATAGAACCTCTGATTCTTGTGAAATGAATTTGGTCCAGAAATTCTGTTTCCTTCGATTAAAACATTTTTAATTCTTTCATTGTTACATAGATTCAATTCATTATTATTGTTAAAAATAGGGATAATTCAGAGAACAGAGAAGAAAAAGATTAAATCAAATCTTATAAACCAAATTCTATTTTAACAGGCAAAAATTCTGTTTGATTCAAATATACGTTTGGTTCTTTCATTATCGAGTTATTTTAATTGATCTGTAGACGACAATAGCTATTACTGGAAATACTTTTTCTCTTTGCGCTGTAGACGTATGAATATATTGTCTGTGTAGCTCATAATACTTTATTTATATCAGGTGTAGTAAAAAGAAATCCATTATTTTTCCAATAGATGGCTTTAGTTATCTGTATCTCGCGTTGTATAAGTCGGATCGGGTTCCACTAGATGGCGTTAGAAAGATGAGGTTTCGTACTAAAAAAACTTTTCTGACAGTTTTGTGATTAGTTGACTCAGTTTTGTTTGAGCGCGCGTCAAAGATGGACACTAGCAAAGAGAAAATACGCTATATTTTACAGTTTTTCTTCGATAACGGCGAAAACGCAAGCCAGGCGGCTGAAAATATGAATAGTGTTTATGGTCCTGATACTGTAACAGCCAATCACGTGCAATTTTAGTTTCATCGATTCCGTTCCGATAATTTCGATGTCAAAGATGCACCACGCACTGGAAGGCCAATTGTCGAAAATATCGATAAAATCATGGACATTGTCGAGTCCGACCGTCATGTAAGCATTGTTTCAATTGCCCAAAAGCTAAAGATTGCACAAAAAACCGTTTGGCACCATTTGAATAAGGCTGGATACAAAAAGAAGCTCGATGTATGAGTGCCACACGAGTTAACGAAAAAAAACCTCATGGACCGAATTTCCATCTGCGAATCGCTGCTGAATCGCAATAAAATCGACCCATTTCTGAAGCGGTTGGTCACTGGTGATGAAAAGTGGATCACTTACGACAACGTCAAGCGAAAACGGTCGTGGTCAAATCGCGGTGAGCCGGCGGAAACGGTGGCCAAGCCAGGATTGACGGCCAGGAAGGTTTTGCTGTGTGTTTGATGGGATTGGCAGGGAATTATCTACTATGAGCTGCTCCCCTACGGCAAAACTCTTAACTCGGAACTGTACTGTCAACAATTGGACCGTCTGAAGGAAGCAATCGCCCAGAAGCGGCCAGCTTTGGCCAATAGGAGAGGAATTGTGTTCCATCAGGACAACGCCAGGCCACACACATCGATAGTGACTCGCCAGAAGCTCCGGGAGCTTGGTTGGGAGATTCTTATGCATCCACCTTATAGTCCAGACCTGGCACCAAGTGATTACCATCTGTTCCTATCCATGGCGAACAATTTTGCTGGTGAAAAATTCGCTTCAAGAGAGGCTTGTGAAAATCGACTGTCTCAATTTTTTGCCAATAGGGACGAGGGCTTCTATAAGAGAGGCATAATGAAATTACCTTCAAAATGGCAACAAGTTATCGAACAAAACGGCGCATACTTGACCTAAATCGGATCATTCTAACTATGGTAATTAAAGCCTTCAATTTCATGCAAAAATAATGGATTTCTTTTCACTACACCTGATATCTATATATCTTATAATACCAAGTTATTTTAAATTTAATCTGTTTTCAGCTATTACATAAACAAATTCGATTAGAATAATTTCGTTGAGTTGCTCCGTAAAAATAAAGTTCTCCGATGGAAAAATACTTCAAAAGTGCAAAAAGTTAAAATAATATTTCAGTGGCCTTTTCTAAATTTTGATTAATTTAATCAATGATTAACTGCCAAAATTGCCAATAGCAGTTTCTACGTAATTTGTTTGACATTGACTATAATTAATAATTCAATATTTCAACAAAATATAGTATTTGATACTAGAGACTAATAATAATTTTTTATACATGAGGAAACAAGAGAATTTCTTACTTATTGTAATAATAAACTGTTACTTATTCTAATAATAAACTGTTTTATTTTCCATGTTGGCCGCTTCAACCGATTGAGTTAATTGTCGATTAGCTTGATTAGAATTTGGAAAAAGTTATTTTTAAAATTGAAAAGCGAAACTTCCGGAAACGTCTGTGCTCCAATTTAACTCAAACTTCGTAAATAGACTCTTTTTAGATAAAAAAAATAAGTACCCTAAAGGAATATTTTTGACAACTTAGATACTAAACTACATTTTAGATAATTATACGTATTAAAGGACATAAGGGATTTGCCGATGACTTTGAAGTTGATATGCAGAGTGCACAAAATAAAGCGTCACGAATTTTTACCTCCAAGAATACCGTTTCTGAAGAAAATTGTTTTAAACAAAAGTTGCAGCATCTAAAGGGAGCTGATGCTATAGAAATGTTTTTTAAGTGACAGTTCAAGATCATTTCAGGATCAACTTAATTGTTTTAAACAGAAATGGGTATTTCTTTCAACAAATATATTTTTTGTACCGAAAACTGAAAGACCATTTAGTTTTGCGTAAAAAAGTATGTTGGAATTTATTTCTGAAACAAATAGTCTAAAAGATATCCCTGTTTCATAAGCAAACAGAACAAACCTCGAAAATACTAATCACTCAAAATCCTAAACTATCTAATCCAATCTAACCTAACATAACATAACCTACCTACTTTACCTCAACTTTATCTTTACTTTAAGTTCAAGATAGTCTTATACGTGTGTGCATATTTCCTCTCTCAGTTGAATCCAGGATTTTCTGAGTCATCAAAAATCTTCTGGCATACTTCTTTATTATCTAAAAGGAATCTATTCTATATATATTCTATATATAGTTAAAGTTCGAACTAAATTGAAGGATTTTCAAACTGTTTTCAGAACAGCCAAATTATGAGTAATTGTTAAGAAAAATTGTTTAACTTTTTAAGTCACCAAAAAATTTTTTCTGGTATACTTCCATATTATCTAAAAGGAACCTATATGTTGACAATGTTCGAGTTAAGTTGGAGCATGAACGTTTTTGGAAGAACAGCCAAGTCCCTTGAAACTGGAGAAATAGAGAAACAAGCGATTTCTTCGGGAGCACCATCCACCGCGCCGTAAGAACGGGGAACTACACACCGGATTTACAAAAGGTTTGGCTTGAATTCGTGTAACGAAATTAGCGACACTCAGTTGACTCTACAGAAGATAGCTTCGAAGCTTACGTGATTACACGAATACCTGATTGACGGCTGCGTGAATGTTCTCGGCGCTGTATGTGTAACGGGGTGGTCTACTTGTGGTCGCCCTGATCTGCTCGTACAGAGCGCTGGTGCTCGGCGTACGGCTCAGCCAGGCGCGATACTCGTCGGACGTGAATACGCTCGGCGAGGACGGTATCCTGCCTGTTGCGGTTTATCGACATGGTCAGTGCAGCCCGCCGACTGTGTACTCGCAGCTGCGTACTCGTGGTAACGCAGTTATCTCGTCCCCTTCTAGAGCTTACCTCTGTCACGTCTGATGGAAGGCAATTCCGGCGCCGACAGAGCGCCGTCGCTGTCCTCTTGATCGATCAGGCCCGACGCAACTGTGCTGAGACCCGACCTGAGACCAGGCTGCTGCGGCAACGTCCGACCGCTTCGTGGTAACGAGTTTGACCTTAAACCTGCACAGACCAATATTACGGTTGAACGCTTTGCCTCGGACCGAATAGTTGTGTCCCAGCCGGAGAATTTGAGGTCGAGACGAGAATGATGGGCTAGATGATATTAGCAGAGATAATATCTTATCGATCCTCTCGAGTAAAAATTTTAACTTTTATCCTCTTCTCCTTTCTTTTCTGTTCTTCTTGGCTCTGCTTGGCCATCCTCTAGTTATTTAGGAAGGAATCTCGAACAGCAGAAATACATCTCAGAGGCATCTAAGAGACATCTAAACCAAGTGAGATATCTTTCAGACGTCTATAAAAGATGTCTCTTAGATGCTAATGCTGTCTAAGATGCCTCTTAGAAACTCTGTTGTTCCTATCTCTTAAAAGAAATAAAAAGTATCGTGCTGAATTTGATTTCCGAATTGGAGCAGTGTGTTTCCGCGAATTTACCTCTAACATTTCTTGAACATTTCAGCTTACCTCATCAAGGAGAGGAGCAATCTGATAGTCGGTCCTCGGCAAATATTGTTTTATAAATGAGTAGAGGTTAATCAAGCAGGAGAAAAGATGGGGCAGAAGAAAGGGAGCAGGGAGAAAATTTGATTGGTCAATGGAATTTTAAAGCAACAAAAAAATAGTTTGCCAAATTGGTGTTCACTATGTCTATAAACAATGTCTTGTATGTGAGGGATGTTTAACCTTTTGAGGCACATATTTTTCAGAAAATCTGAATCACATGAAAATTTATATACGGAGGTTTCTGATGACGAATTCGTCATCAGATTTTCGAAATTCAAGATGACGGATCCAAGATGGCGGACGCAAAAATGAAAAATCGCGATAATTTCGGTGACAATGGGTATTGTGGAGTTTTTAGAATCGCTGATTACGAATCCGTTATCATATTTTCAAAACTCAAGATAGCGGATTCAAGATGGTAGCCACAAATATGAAAAATCGCGATAATCTGGAATCCGCCATCTTGGAAAATGAATTTTAGAATATGGACCTCAGATTCATAATCAGCGACCTCAAAGACTAACCAGAGTACAATTTTGGCTAATTTAATAAAAATTCTATGATCCACCATTTTGAATTCGCCATCTTGGAAAATTAATTTTGAAATTTGGACCTCAGATTCGTAATCAGCAACGCAAAAAACCTCCAAATCTTGATTTTAAGCAAAAAATTCACTCATAGTTCGTGAAAAATGATTTTTTTCTGTAAAGATGTGTGTTTTTCACACTTTGTTTATTTATAATAAATGGACAACTTATGCAAAACACTTTTCAACCTTTCATGTATGTTCATGTATGTTTCATGTATTTATATCATACAAGAAGCTAAAAAATGCAATACACCCGACAAGAATCCCTCAAATATGAAATATTTTATAAAAACGTGAGAATAAATAGGTGGTAAGTATACTTACCACTATGCCTCAAAAGGTTAAGTGGTGTTTTAAGAAGCCTTTATGTGTTCTGAAGCAATAGGCGCTGTATAGTCGCAGCTAGCAAAAGTATCATTTTGTCACAAGCTTTTCTCGATTAAGGTGAGATATAAGCAAAAGTGTCCGAATGTGTTGACTTTACACGAGGAACATACCATGATCGAGTAACGCAGCGTCTTAATGGAAGTTATCGATCGCAATTAAAGTTTCAACGACACACTTTGAAAACACGACGGGACGTGAATTGAATTCGACGATTATCTTCAACTCACCTGAGGAACTCTGACCGATTTGTGACCTCGAAAGGGTAGCTAAGTGCGATACGGCGCTACTTTGAGGTGGATTGTTCATGTTGTGCCTATAGTAGTAATACGCTGATTTTGGCGAGCTGGAGCATGTGGCCTCGGTGTCGGAGGCGTAGTCCAACGAAGGTCGATGTCGCCTCGTCAGGGTGCCGAATTGTCCCTGCCTCTGTGCGGCGGATGTCATGTCCGTCTGACCGCCATACCTCGAGTTGTAGCGCAATGCTGATGTACCTGGAAACACCAGAGAACCGTTGCAGCACTACACCCAATTTTTATATTGCACATGCGGAATACCTTTGAACTTAGTCCTAACTCTGTCTTCGCGTTTCAACGCGGAAAGCGCGCCTCACCTGCACACGGAACATACATTTTCACCAAACTTTCCCGACCTATTATCCGATACGCGTTCCTCGCGTCCTCGTCATTCGTAACAATGCGCTAAATGTGGAAATGAAATTTCTCCGACTTAAAACTGTAATAACTCGTTTCCTTTTTCTTCTCCCGCAAATACTTTACGGTCCGCGGAATTTAGTTGCGCAAGCGGCGATCCGAGAAAAGAGGGATAGTTTCTACCGGAAATTGTTCCTCGTAGTTCTGGAACGCTACGCGCCGGATGTTCTCTCACTCTCTCACTCTCTCGCTCTCTCACACTCCCTCCCCCTTCTCTTTCTGTCTCCCTTCCTCTAGGTAAGTAAATTCATTACGGACCTGATTTCAAGCTGGATCTAAGAAGGGTATGTCGCGCCGGCGTCGTGATACTGGTATAATCGACTCGAGGTAGATGCTGGTCGGAACCACTTCTCGGCATGATCCTTCCGCTTCCGGTGTGCTGGCCGTAACCGTAATGGGTCGACTGGGTTTGGCCCGACAGCCTGCCGCCGACTGATTGCATTCCGCCACCGGTCGACATACGCCGGCCGCCATTCGAGGGCATCACGGGCCCCGTGTAGAAGGGGTGTACCTACAGCCGCGAGTGAAACATCTTGAGTAAGACTCGTCGACATCCCCGCACGTGGCGTTCCCCCGCGTTGCCGATCGCCGTCGAGCGCGGATGTTCCCCTTTTATTCATTTCATCATCAACGAGGTACCAGTCAAGACCATCGGTCCTTTTTTCAAATTTTTGGAAGCATAAAAAGGGTCTGCAGAGACCCGAAGGTAACTGAAGAAAGATGATATTGCCGCGATTATATTAGGTCTACAAATGAATAATCCAACCTTTTTTAAGCGGCTAAGAAATTAAGTTTCAAATGATCTAATTTTTCCGCTCTTTTACGATCATGTAGTGTTGGCATATAGCTATTAAAAATTACATTTAATACAGCAAAAGGCTCAACATAACCTCAAAAATTCGGTTCAGTACAGTCAAAAATGGCAACAGATAAGGTGCATATCCGACACTGCATTCTTTACGAATTCCAATAAGGAAAAAATGTTGCAAGAGCATGCGAATTAATTTGTTCCTTTCTCGGCGAAGATGTTGTATCGCACGATGTGTATGCACTTCGGTTTAGACGGTTTAAAAGCGGCGATTTCAGTCTGAGTGACAAAGAAGCAGTTTTGTTTGGTGAATACGTCGGGTACTGCAAGATGTCCCAGCCGAGACTCATTATATGATGTCTTTTATCGTAGAAACAATAGGCTCGGCATTATCATGCAACAATTTCACAGGACGTTCTCTTTTACCACACTGAGAAAAAATTGTATTAAAATTAAACAAATATTTGTTCGAATACGACTGTGAATACATTTATTAAAATTAAGCGACTAATTTCTAAAATGAAATACAGAGGTTCTCTGAATGTAAACTTTTTTCCTGAATTTTAGAAAATAATTGCTTAATTTAAGTAAATGTATTCACAGTCGTGTTAAATAAATGTATTCACAATTCTTGAAAAAAAAAGAACTTGCAGAGCAGCTCTTAAGCTCTTAAGCAGCAGTTAAGAGTGACGCATCAAACTATTTCCAAACACCTACAAAATGAGGAAGATTCAGAAAGAAAAAAAATGGATTCAGAAAGAAAAAGAATGAACTCACTGAAGCTAACAAAAATCAACGAGTGGCAGTGTGTCTTTCTCTTCTCAATAAGCAGCGTAGAAAGTCTTTCTTGTGGAAAATTGTTACAGGCGATTAGAAGCGGATACTCTATGATAATCCGAAACGCTGAAAGTCATGGGAAAATCCCGGCGAACTATCAACATCGGTCGCAAAGCCAAAATATTTCGGAAAGAAGATTCTGCTCTACATTTTACGGGGTATGGAGGGCGTGGTTTATTATGAGTTATTAAAACCGAATGAAACGATTACTGCGGACCGCTACCAATATCAATTAATCCGTTTGAATCAAGAATTAGAACGAAAGGGCTCGTATAGTGCACTGAGAAAAAATTGTATTAAAATTAAACAAATATTTGTTCGAATACGACTGTGAATACGTTTACTTAAATTAAGCAACTAATTTCTAAAATGAAATACAGAGGTTCTCTGAGTGTAAACTTTGTTCCTGAATTTTAGAAAATAATCGTTTAATTTTAATAAATGTATTCACAGTCGTATTCGAACAAATATTTGTTTAATTTTAATACAATTTTTTCTCAGTGTGGCAAAAGAGAACGTCCTGTGAAATTGTTGCATGATAACGCCGAGCCATATATTGTTTCTATGATAAAAGACATCATAATGAGTCTCGGCTGGGACATCTTGCAGTACCCGATGTATTCACCAAACATCGTTCCTACCGATTACCACTTGTTCCAGTCGATGCAACATCTTGCCGATACGTCTTGTCCGCACTTCAAATCAGTGGATAAGATTCGAAAATGGCTTAACGACTTTGTCCAAAGAGACAACATTTCTCCGACATGGAATTCATTAGCTGCCTGAAAGATGACTTAAAGTTATAGAAAACAACGGCGAATACTTTGATTGACAAATTTGTTTTATTTTCTTTTAAAATAAACCTGGAATTTAGCTGAAAAATTTAGATTATTCATTTGCATACCAAATATATACATTCTGTAAAGTAAGAGCGTGTACGGGTTAATGTGTAGAAAAATTTATTTTTAATGATTTTTAAGTACATGAATTTGTTGTACTTCATGAGAAGAAAAATGCTATACCATTAATAATGAGTCCAGTCACCACCGGCATTGATAATTGCCTGGCATCTCCGAGGCATACTTTCTACTAAGTTGACTGCGTATTCGTTCGGTAAAGACCTCCAAATGAGACGAATTTGTCATGTTAGCTGCTTCAATGTGCACACTCTTTTTCCTCGAAGCTTGTGCTTGAGATATGCCCACACATTTTCAATGGGATTTGCATCTGGCAACTGCGATGGCCAATCAAGTGTGACGATGCCAGACTACTCTTTCCACTCGGTGCAAAGCTTGCTCCGGTATTTTGGGTCGTTGTCTTCCTGTAAGATCTAGTCCTCGTTTTTTTTATGAAGCATCGTTCAGCAGTCGGCAACAAACACTTCTCATAAATTTTAAGCATTTTCGGAGCATTTAAATTGTATGTAAACAAATGTAATGCTCCAAAACCCTGTTTCGAAAAGCAGCCCCAAAGATGAACTTTTACAGGGTGTTTAACAGTCTGTTGTATTAATCTATTGGTCAAAGTTGACCAGGAACGTCGGATGACAGTATATCCCCAAACAGAAGCTTCGTCTGTAAAGATCACGTTGCTCCAATCTCGGTCCAAATTCTCCTTCGCCCAAGCGAGTCTTTTCGTCACATGTTTTTCGCCTAACAGTGATTTCTTCATTGTGCTTCGATATTTGAGGTTATGCGCAAGGAGATGGGTTCGAATAGTTGTATGTGATACTTCTATATCCTTCTGTTTTAATTTTGCTGCTCCTTGTCGCAATGTTAAGGTCAGGTTCCGCTTAAATAAATTCACAATTTTTTTTCCATATTCGGCGTCACTTTGCCTATCGAGCCACGTTCTGGCAAGTCATCGACATTTTTTATCTTCTTATATTGCTGAACCCACTTAGCGACGAACGATTTTGACTTTCCCATGTATTTAGCAGCCACTGCATATGACATTTTTGGTCCTTTGGTCCTGGGGTGGAAACAAAGGAACACAGCCTCGTAGCGCGATGTGTATGCGGCACTCATGGCGGTTAACGTGTTTCTCAGGTTAGAGTTCGACGCCAACTGAATCTTTTGTGACAAAGCATTCACGACAAAGATTTCATCTATCGGCTCACAAAAAAACTAGGACGATATTTAAAGCCAATTGCCATTTATGCCGTACACGCTCTTACTTTACAGACTTCTTCAGTTCTTCAGTTCAGTATCTTCAGTTATTCGATATAAATATTTAGATATTCAGAATATGTAAATTTTATGGACTCTAATTTTATAATCATTACTTACGATTATTTTAATGTTTAATTAGTATGTATATGAGACGCAATAAAGTATGTAAGATACTTTTCTCGTCATTACCCTTACGATAATTCGGCACAAAATTTAACATACAACAGGAGGTTGCCAAATAATAAAACATGATGAATATTGCAAGATCAACGGTCTTTGCTTTACCTCATTCCGGTGTTCTCATCGCGAAAACTCGGGCGTTCTGAACGAAAAATCACGCCGACGGCAATTGCAGCAGTAATATCTCACTATCACTAAAGTACAGTCTTCCTACGATCGATCGATGGCATCGATCGATGGCTTCTCTCGCTCGCCAGCGACATTATTATAAATTCCGTTGAAAAACCGGAGCGCTCTGTACACAGAGCGCGTTAAGCTTTTATATAGGGGAGCATGCGAATTTATTTAATATGACTCTGCGCTTGATTAAACATGTATAAAAATTTCTCTGACATGCGTTACAGCTGGATTAAAATTTCAAAAAGTACCAGGTCTGTAAATATGAAACCGGAATTTGCCCATAGATGGCCCTAGCTGTCAATGTAGTTACCATCAAACCGCGTCATTGGCGCCATTTCCATTTGTTGACATCTGACAAAGATTTTCAACTCACAACAATACAAGTTTCATACAACAGCATAGTTTGTAATAGCGTTGAACATGTCGAATTTTGTGCCTGGAAGCTACGATTTGCGGACAGCATTGATTTTCTGTTACCATTTGGAGAAAACTGCAGAATCGCATCGAATGCTTGTCGAAGCTTACGGTGAGCATGCTTTTGGTAAATCACAGTGCTTTGAGTGGTTTAAAAAGTTCAAACGTGGCGATTTTGATGTGAGAAACGAAGAACGTGGAAGGCCACCGAAAAAGTTTGAAGACAGCGAATTGCAAGCATTGTTGGATGAGGATGACGCTCAACCGCAACAACAACTCGCGGATCAATTAAATGTGACACGAGAAGCCGTCTCCATACGTTTGAAAGCCATGGGAAAGATCCAGAAGATGGGAAAATGGGTTCCACATGAACTGAATGAAAGACAGCAGGAAAATCGTAAAACTACTTGCGAAATGCAGCTCGCCAGGTACAAAAGAAAGTCATTTCTCCATCGAATTGTGACTGGCGATGAAAAGTGGATATATTTTGAGAATCCTAAGCGTAAAAGATCATGGGTAACTCCAGGCGAACCATCGACATCGACTGCAAGGCCAAATCGCTATGGACGAAAGACAATGCTCTGTGTTTAGTGGGATCAGAAGGGTGTGATCTATTATGAGCCGCTAAAACCTAGCGAAATCGTTCATACTGAACGCTACCGACAACAAATGATCGATTTGAATCAAGCTTTGCGTGAAAAACGACCAGAATATCAAAAAAGGCAACACAGAGTGATTTTGCTTCATGATAATGCACCATCACACACAGCAAAACTGGTCAAGGAAACGATTGAGGCATTTAGTTGGGAAATACTTTCGCATGCGGCTTACTCACCAGACTTGGCTCCGTCCGATTACTATTTATTTGCATTGATGGGACACGCACTTACTGAGCAGCGCTTCACTTCTTACGAAAATGTACGAAAATGTCTCGATGACTGGTTTGCCTCAAAAGAGCAACAGTTATTTTGGCGTGGCAACCACAAATTGTCAGACAGGTGGGAAAAATATATAGCTAGCGATGGGAAATACTTCGAATAAAATATTTTTTATCATTTTCATATAATAAACGTGTATTTTCTATACAAAAGTTCCGGTTTCATATTTACATACCTGGTAATCTTTGATAAATCTTTGAAATCCACGATAGCTTTGCGGAACGCGACGCTGTTGCTCTGCTGTGCGCGGAGCACCATCGAGAGAACAATCGATGATCGATCGACCACGTTAACGCTAATATACGCTGCGACGGCGATTAGCGTCTTATTCCGAGGACACAGACAGGAAACGCAATCGAAAGAACAGAGATATGCAGCAAGCTCACAACAAGAAAACAAAAAGATCAGGGTTCGCGTTTAACGGGGCAGCGGCACGTGTATGCGACTTCTCTTACGTTTTAAGAATAAATATATCCGCTATTCTAAGCGCTTCTTGTGCCAAGCAGAGAACTCATTAAACGAACGCACAGGTGCAACGTGGAAATTTCAGTCGCCTCCCCGCGATCATTTCATTTATTAACTCTCTCGCGAGTGCAACCCATTGCGAAATAATTCGTTCGCTGGACGCGAATTTTTTCTCCCCTCTTTTCATTAACCCTTCACTCTAGCGGCGGAAAGTTTGAGCCCCGCCAACTTTTTCTCTGAAGCCGTGCAGTTCCCGGGTTTATAAAAGGTATAGCCCGGTTGATTAATGATTAATCAAATCTGCAAATTGTTATTATCGTATCCAGCGGTGATGCTCATCCGATTATTAAAAAAGACGTGACGGGCCGGTTAGAGTATCGTCAATTTTCGAAATCTTTCTCGGTCGCATGTATGCTTAATCGTCCTCTTCTCTTCCACTAACAAACTTAATTTCGGCCGACGGAAAGAGGATCTCGAGGAACTTATCCCGTTGATTCTTCCGCGAGAACGGGACGCGTCACGTAAGCGGACGCACTCGCGCATTCGTTCGTCTCAAAGTGCGTGCTTGAAGGGACAGCGAAAGGAAGAATATGTATACTCGTCCATGATATAGGCATTACACAGTAAATCGCAGTCATACACAAGTCTAGATATCAAGATAGAGTTTGTATTGTCTTTACCTTTGTGAAATCCTGGTTAATATCAACGTAGCATTCATTCATAGAACCGATTAGTCATGTTAAGCACGTGGTCGGTATGCGAACGGATCGGCAAACCGTCGACACTCCGCGTCGTTCGGAAATGATGTCAGACACTTTGTTCCCTGACTTTTTTCTTCTATTTTTATTTCCACGCGAGCTTTCTTTCGGGGATCATCGGTGGAAGTTTGATTCGTGGGCATGCATTGTCCCGAAATTTCTGTTTCCTATCGTCGGGCGTTTTATGACAAGTTTAAGGCAATGAATCGATTGCACTTTTTGGCTAATGAGAAATCCGATATGGATTTTTCTTTTTTTAATATGACCGGTAACGGTCTCGCAGTTGGATTAAATAATTTTTTAATTGAATGTATATTGATATATTTCCCGACTGTGTCAACTTGTCTCCCAATTGCGGTCAAACAAGCATTATTTCTGTATTATATCGGGTTGGCCAAAAAGTTGTCCTTTTTTCCAATAAATGGATATACGTAATGTAACTAACTTCATTCTAAATCGCAAATTCATTATATAACTTGACAACTGACTGTTCAAGCTTGTTTTAGAAAAAGAAAGTACACGATTTCGTTAACAATGGTCTGTTTGTCGTCGATCTCAAAATGGAGAATCAGAAAGAATGTTTTTGTCATATTTCGCTATATTATTTCTGAAAAGGAAAAAACGCTGTGCAAGTTCATAAAAAATTGTGTGATGTGTATCACATGAAGTAAAGATGCTTTAAATTTACGACAGTGTCAGAATTGGTTTACTAAATTTTGGTCTGGAGATTTTGATGCTAAAGATGCACCACTCAGGAGGGCCAATCAAAGTTGACGATGACGAAATAAAGGCATTGATCGAGTCCAATCGGCGTTTAACAATACGAGAAATTGCTGAGAATCTTAATATATCGAAATCAAGCGTTGAAAACCATTTAAAATAACTTGGATACATCAGTAAGCTCGATCTTTGGGTGCCACACGAGTTCAAAGAGATTCATCTCACTAAGCGCATTGACATTTGCGATTCTCTCTTGAAACGTGAAAAAAAATGATCCATTTTTGAAACGTATGATAACAGATGACGAGAAATAGGTCGTCTACAACAACGAAACAGATCCTGGAGCAAACGTGATGAACCCGCTCAAAGCGCTTCAAAAGCAGATATTGACCAAAGGAAAGTTACGCTGTTAGTCTGGTGGAACTTCAAGGGTATTGTGTATTTTGAGCTGCTTCCAAGGAACCAAATCATTAATTCAGACTGCCGTCAACTGGATAAATTAAATGATGTTCAGACTGTCGTCAATTGGATAAATTAAATGATGTTAACAAATCGAAGCGTCCAGAATTGGTGAATCGCAAAGGTGTTCCACTATGATAACGCCAGACCACATACAAGTTTGGTCACTCGTCAAAAATCGTTGCAACTTCGATGGGATGTGTTATATCCACTATGCTCGCCATACCTAACACCATCAGATTACCATTTCTTTCGTTTTTTTTAAAATACCTTGAATGGTAAAACCTTCACTGCTGATGATATCAAATCGTTCTTGGAACTGTTTTCGTCGAAAAAGATGAAAACTTTTTTGAACGCGGAATGAAGTTACCTAAAAGATGGCAAAAGATAATCGAACAAAATGGACAGTATATTGTTTGATAAAGTTTCTGTTTCCCATGAAAAATTCATTTGCATAGAAATAAACGCAATTATTTTTGGCCAACCCAATATTTCTAGAGAATCATTACGTTCTTCCCTTTAGTTAATAATAATAATACTTAAAATAAAAATCTCGAGACTTGGGATTTGGGACAATTCCTCAAAAAATCATAATACCGAAACCTGAACATCTAGTTAATATTCCGAGGTATAATTTTCGCGAACAGTACATACAAATATATTAATATCTACTACTTTGTATGCACACTTTTGCTGTACTCTAAAAAATAAATATTAATGCACTTGACTGTACAGGGTGTAACATTAACATAAAGGCCTGTATGACGGGTTGCCTGTCTCTATTCGGACGATAATGCAGAGGTTGCCGAAACAGTCACTCGTTGACTTTGTTGATAATGATGTTTGTAGTGCTTCCAGTTATGACGAATGCAACTAATTTTACACCGTAATCCACCGTAATCCGTAAATGACAGTTTATTAGCTATTTATGACAAGAGTCGAGCCTCAAGATCACTTCTGCAAAAGTATGAATCAACCAGAAATGCAGTATAAATATTGACTGCAACTTAATCGACAATAACTATCAAACGACATATTTTCGGTACATCATAGTCTTGTATTTTGACGCCTCTTTTATCGAAAATAGGGCTTGATAGTTGTTATTGATCAGAAGCGATCTTTTGTAGAAACATGGATGAAATATAGTATATAAAACTTCTAAATATTTCCATACCGTTCTTTCTAATCTCCAATTCCTATCCAACTTTCCAACGCAAGAAAGAAATTAAGAAATTATGTGAAACAAGAAAATATGTTGTATTATTTATCTCCTTAACTATTACTCTTATTTACTCTGCTTAAATTCGTAATGTTTATTTTTCAGTTTCACTTTCTTAAATGTCTTTTTCAATCTTATTTAATGAGGCTCGACTACTGTCATAAACAATCGTAAACTGTCATAACAATCATGGTGCAAAGTTAATTGTACTCGTGATAAATGGGAGCACTGCAAGTATCATTATCAACAAAATCAACGAGTGACTTTTTAGGCAATTTCTACATTATCGTCCGAATAGAGGCAGGCAACCCGTCATACTAACCTATTTGTTGATATATGTTCCTGTACAACTATAAACAAAAAATTTGCTCGCTGTTTTTTGTGTGAATTTCGCAACGCATCCGAAAGGAGATCCAATAGGAGAATCTATTTTTCACAATGGCGCAATTCTCAATATATCCACAATTGCACAAGATAATTCTAATATGTGTCGATAAAATTCGGCATCTCGGAAACTTGTCTCGATATTCAGATTTCGGTATTACAAGTTCTCAAGAAACCGTGTCCCACTTTCTCAAACTTCAATACATTCTTTTTTCTAGGACAATACGTGTTCACCAATTCAGCTTGTAGATCTCGTCATCGCGCGAGCGATATTTCAATCTCATCGACACGCATGGCTTGCATTGTTGTTTTCGATTTCTCAAGCAACTTTCCCGCGAGGCATACAACATGATGAATCGTTCTTTCGTCTTTGTCAAATTGAACAATCCGAATGACTCGGAGATCCCGACAGTAAGCATGTACATCTTCCTGACTTCTGTCGGGAGGGTCCCGAGACATTGCCACGAGTTCACCACTTTCTTTCAGTCGCAAAGTAACGCTCATTGGAGACAGTGAAGGACAAACAAGTATCGAATTGGTGCAGACAGGTGTGAAAGGGTGCTCGATCCACATCGTCTAGAACATCTATGCGTGAACTACCGTCGACGTTGATTCGAGATCCGAGAGACATCGGGCAATCGCAGGAATATTCGCGATTGCATCAAATATTCGAGTCGTGGCAAATAATTCATCGTAGCATCGACAACCAGAGTGTAAATTTATATCACTGTTGAAAACGTTATTACCCGATAAAGAGCAACTCTCCTTACAAACTCCGACATTCCATCTGACGCTAACGGTGTGTGCTTTAATCCAGGGCGCGTTGTATAGCGCATTATCAAATTATCTAAATTATCAAATCGTTCGTGCTTCCAATAGCAGTTAAATATTGTAATTCAGAAATTTTTCATTCTGACCCGCACGGCGATGTTTCACTCATCTCGTCGACAAGCGATTCACCTTCCCTCTCAGCACGTTCCTCGACGCTCGGGTGGATCTCGAAATCCGCGTCGGGATTTCGATATCGGCGGAACACTGCGATCGACTTACTTTCTCTGCCAAGCTCTCCAGGGTCTTCGGATAACCGCGCTCGTACGGCTGAAAGTGTTGCGTCGCTGAAGGTTTCGGCTGGTGCGTGATGACCGGCGGCGGTGGCGGTTGATAGGACCAGTGACCTTCCGGCCGCGAATTGTAGTACAAATCGCCGTTGCTCGATCCGAGATCTTGACTAGATCCCAAACCGGTGAGACCGAGTCTCGATCGCGATGGCAGCATCTCACGCCCGTCGCCTCGTCGACGGCTGCTATCTCTGCGTTCGAGGGCAGGTGAGAGAGAAGAAGATAATAAAATCAGATTTCGTGCGCGAGAAGCAGCGCTCGAAGCTCTCTGTTGATAAAATAACGGTCATAACTATCGGTCATTTAAGCTCGGAGTAACTTTCCTTAATTTCTATAAATTCATTAATTCTATAAATTCTATAAATTCATTAAAATGAAAATAATTACGTAACACATACAAAGATACAAAGATATATAAAGACATTTTAACTGCGAATAACAACTTTGTTAACTGTGGTATCCGGGTCCATATGTTCTTATTTGCGTATCGAAAAAATATTTTTTAACATTGTGACAATTATTATTTATTAATATTTAAAGATTTTATTTTATTATAATTTTTATAATTGAGGAGGATCTGAATGATATGACCATTTAAATTAATTGCAAAGAAGCATATTTTTCCTTTATTATATTAAATATTTGTGCATAAACAACAGCGTTTAAAAATTCATAAGAAATGTTTATGCATCTTTCTTACTTTTAATTGTAGGTCAGTCAATTATTTCACGTCTGTGTAAAGGTCATATAATATCCAATCTTAAGTCGAGATAAAAATACTATACGCAGAAAAATGTTTGATCGAATAAAACAATTTTCTGGTGAAATATGCACGATACACAAGTTCCGGTTAAAGTTATCAGAATTCGGTCTAAATTTTCAAGATATCTGATTATCTTAAACGGGATTCTGGTATTTTCAATCGGAATTTCTGAATCGTTCATACTTCACCGGAAAATTGATTCATTCAACCGAGCATCTTTCCTTGTGTACGTGCTATGTATAAGATTTTTTAAGCAACACAAATTTTTTAACCTCAAGAACCAATTTTTTATTAAACGAAATATGCGAGTAGTAAATGTGATATACTACATTTTCCCTAAATATCAACAATGTTTGTGAACGTAACTTTAGAACATAATTGCATAATTGCAAGGGAACAAAAGAATACAAAAAAATGTTCCGTATTTTCATTATAATGTATACCTTTCCAACCAGGTCTCACTCGAAATTGGAACTCGACCCATATAACTAGGACCGTTACCTTCTAACAGAGGGCTTATAGGATTATTTTAATTGAAAGCTGTCAACGTTATAAAAACGTCAGTATATCACCGGCGCACGAGCGTGCATGCACGCGCTGCGCTGCGAAAAATAATTGCCCTTCAGAGAATATCGACTTCTCGACTAACGATCGATCTTCATGATTGTAACGAGTTTTTACACGAGACGCGAGCGAGAGGATTAAAAGGCTTCAAGGTTTTCAAACGACGTTAACAATAGAATCATCCACAGCGGCGCGAGTCTCGGGCCGGCCAATATGCCGGGAGATATATCGTCCATTTTGAATGGGCCGCTGCACTGATCGAAAAATCGCCGTCGCCGGAATTGCGACCGGTGATTTTCGGAACATTCCGCGCATGCGCGCGAGGCACGAGTGGAATTCCCGTGCGACCGCGAGTAGCCTGTTGCAGAAAAGCCGACGGTGAAACTCACGAGACCGAATACCTGACGTGGTTACTCGTCGCATGGTCACTCTCGTCCTCATTCAGCTCCCTCTTGATAACTACCACGGGCGGCGCCTTGTGCTCAGTCTGGCGGCTGTGCGAGACTGGTTGGTGCGGACCATGCCTGGTGGCCAAGACGAGTCGCCTTGGTATCGACATGATGATCACGACATCGTCCAGGCTCATATGCGTCACGTCGACCAGATTCACCGCCAAGATCTCGTCGCCCACCTACACGTGCAAATGCATGACTGTTCGCGGATGACCAATAAAGACGTCCACCACACACCTGGCCGGCGGAGGGGGGAAGCCGCTCGCGCGGTCAACCAAGGGGGATAAGAGTCACCCTGGTAGGAATCGATCAATGCCGAGCCGCGAAATGTCAAGGTGCGAGAGGATAAATTTAATTCGGTCTGCTTGTTTCGTTTGCGCACCCCACGTCTGAAAACACGATGTCCGTGCGCGTCTTGAAATAGGCTACAGGGCTTTTAGACAAACCCGGACCCTGAGCTCAGGTGACAATCAAGTGTTCATGGTGAAACGAGGAGAATGCGCAACGGGGATTCGTGAGATTTATCCTCGAATTCATCCTGTTTCCATATCGATTGCGATCGCGTCGATTTTTCTCTACGGCGACGAATTCCAGGCCGGTGCGCTGGGAAGAAAGTGTGGCCAGTGTGTAATTACAGTTTGTAATTACAGTACGAGAAAAAATAATTATACATTATCATACGCGAATTTTACGTCTATGTGACCGTATATAATTATACGTAATTATACATGTACACAAAATATACATATATATGTACGTAAAATCGTGTGTATGCCTAAAACGTATACAGGGTGCACGATTTATCTGAAGACATTGAAATATCTCGAGAACTATGCATTGGATAAAAAAAAGTGGTCAATGAAAGTTGTTAGTCTCGAAGGGGGACATCCAATGATACCAAACTCGACCTCCCACCCCACCCCCTGGGGATGGGGGTTGGGAGCAACTTTGAAATCTTAAATGGAAACCCCCATTTTTTATTGCAGATACGGATTCCACGCCACAAAATACGTAAATTTTGTCCGAAACTTTTTTTTTTATTCGTGATAGATGGCGCTGTAATCGCAAAAAATTATATTTTCCGCAATTCTCCAGAAATGATCATTGGATTGAGAAATAAAAAATACCTGTTCAATATTTTTAAAGAACATAATAAAAGTTATTAAAAAGATAAGGTTTATCAACCTAACCTAAAAGATAAGGTTTATCAACAAGTGTCAACAACTCGTGAAAACATGGTAGAACGCATAAGAAACGCTTGCGCTGAAACTCCCGCAGATATGCTTCTATCCTGTGTACAGTCATTTGAAAAAAGGATCAATAAGTGTATTGAAGTTGAAGGTAAAAATTTCGAACATTTACTCTAATTAATTGAACAGTGAGAGGCAAGGGGACTCACATTAAAAAAGCACCCCGATCTGTGAGAGGCAAGGGGACTCATATTAAAAAAGCACCCGAAGGGAACATAAAACTACTATGTCCTCGTCGTTGTTCCTGTGTAACGCTAAAAGTAGTTTCTCGGAAAAATTTAACGCTATCTATCACGAATGAAAAAAATTGTTTCAATAAAAATTTCACGTACAATCTAATTCTGCAATGAAAAATGTGGGTCCCCATTTGAGATTTGAACGTTATCACCCATCCTACCCCGAGAGGATGGGGGGAATAACTTTTATTATGTTCTTTAAAAATATTGAACAGGTATTTTTTATTTCTCAATCCAATGATCATTTCTGGAGAATTGCGGAAAATATATTTTTTTGCGATTACGGCGCCATCTATCACGAATCAAAAAAAAGTTTCGGACAAAATTTACGTATTTTGTGGCGTAGAATCCGTATCTGCAATAAAAATGGTTGCCCCCAACCCCCACCCCCAGGGGGTGGGGTGGGAGGTCGAGTTTGGTATCATTGGATGTCCCCCTTCGAGACTAACGACTTTCATTAACCATTTTTTTTTATCCAATGCATAGTTTTCGAGATATTTCAATGTCTTCAGATAAATCGTGCACCCTGTATATACAATTAAAGTAGTTGCTTACAGGCTTTATATTAGCCTGTAATATCAAAATTCAATTGAATAAAAATATCTCTTTTTCCTTTTCTTTTCGTTCGACAATATTTTTTTGCATGCAATTATATAGGATGGCACCGAAAAAGGTGACCAAACTTCGGTATCGTATTCTACTCTTCCTAAGGATAAAAGAAGGTCATATAAATGTAGGTCCGGAAAGATCCGAAAAGGTCTTCCTTTCCGAGATATAAACACTTTTTTATTTATGATCGAATACTGTAGGAATGTTTGAAGCTTAATTAACACGCATGCTGTTAATCAATCTCGACACCAACATCAGTTTTTACGCAACGTGTGAGCTGGAATTATTGGAGACTTGCTTATTAATTTTTCTTCCACCAGTTTTTCTTCCATTTACACTCAACGGTAGAAATCATATACAATTTTTGGAAATTGAACTTTCTACACTATTACAAGATATATCATTGGCAGCACGTACTCGAATATGATTTATGCTGGAGCTCCTTTTAGTCGAACTACTAGAGAATATTTTGATAACAATTACACCAATCGATGAATTGGCAGAGGAGGACCAATTGCCTGGCTTGCACACTCCCTTGACTTAACTCCTTTAGATTTTTATTTGTGGAGACATCTTAAAAGTTTAGTCTATGATAATAATACTCTTGATAGTCTGGAAACATTCAAAACCAGATTATTGCCACATGTAAAAAAATTCGGAGAACACCAGGAATTTTTGAATATCTTCTTCTTCAAGTAAGCTTTAAACATTCCTACAACATTTCCTACAATACTCAATCATAAACAAGAAAATTTATATCGGAAAGGAAGAGTTTCCAGACCTATGTTTATATGACTTTTAATTTTAGTCATCTTTAGGAAGATTAGGGTAATTATTTAGAATAGGGGAGCCACCCCCGATTTCAATAATTTTCATATATATTATTATTACTATTCTCCTTTAATAACATGCAACAAATTTTAGTTGTCAGTCGATGCTAATTAAAAAGTTATTAACAAAAAAGTGTAATGAATAATAATCACGTATTGAAGTACTACGTGTCTTCTGTGGCATATTCTGTGTGACATATGTTATTAAGGACATCTTATTGAGTAACCTATTGTAGGTTTTAGCCGTCGCTCATTGTTTATTAAAAAGTTATCGATAAATGAAATTTTTTAATGCAAATCAAGATTCCGTATGGGTTTGCAACTTTCCACGCGAAACTAGGACGGTCGAGGAGAATGCGGGAGGGGGGTCAAAGGCCCCCCTGTATTCCCCGTGTGTGTGTGTATGTGTATACATATGTTTAATACTACTTTCATTTATTAAACATATGAATTTTTAGCACATATATTAGTGGTTATTATACAACAAAAATAACCTCTAATACATGAGCTAAAAATTCATATGTTTAATAAATGAAAATGTCTCAATCATATATATATACATACACAGACACACACACACACACATACGGGGGGGTGGTACAAGGGGGGCCTTCGGCCCCCCTCCCGCACCCTCCCCGTCCGTCCTAGTTTCGCGTGGAAAGTTGCAAACCTATTTCCTTCAGCATGTAGACGTGTGTTTTTCTTTCGATGTATAACCAGTACAAGAAAGGTAAATAAACAAACCAAGCGAAGAATATAATACGTAAATAAATCTTTATATATAGTGTTGTACAATTATTTCCACAAAAGACACGTAGTACTTCAATATGTGGGCATTATTCATTACACTTTTTTGTTAATAACTTTTTAATTAGCATCGACCGACAACTAAAATTTGTTGCATGTTATTAAGGGAGGATAGTAATAATAATATATGTGTGAATTATTGAAATCGGGGATGGCTCCCCTATTCTAAATAATTACCAAGATTAGAATACGGTACCGAAATTTTTCGTTGTCCACCTTTTTCGTTGTCACCCTGTATATATGACCGTATACAAAAAATTCATATGTATAATTATATGTAATAATTTACGCTAATGTGGGTATAATCGCATAATGAAAGATTTATAGCTAGGAGAAGCATTCTTGTAGTAAGTGTTGCTGCAGTGTTAGTAATAATAATTTAGTGATAATAATTTAGTATTAGTAATAATTAACGCATATCGCTACTGCTTTTTCGTTGGGACAGAAAGATGAAGCAGCTATAACTTTAGTGTTATTAATGTATTCTTTTTTAGCGTGAGGGAGTGGTTTCTCACCTTCAAGCAGCCGCTGTTGTAGACGGCGGTTTCCAAGGCTATCCTCGAGATGAAGACCCCGTCGTTTCTGTCGACGCCGTTGCCCTCGCGTATGTAGAGGCCGAGGGTCTGTCCCGGTCGTTTGATTATCTCGACGAAGTGGATAGGGTGCTTGGGATCCTGAAACGAAGATCGTCGGCGAACTTTCTTAATTCGTGCCATCGAGATACCCTCACGGCACGTTCCCTTCGCGTCTGTCCTCCGCCACTCGCCACCCCCCGGCCGTCCTACTTCTAAACGCGCGTACCTTCAGCGCAGAAATTACGCGGCGCGGAATTGCTTCATTGTCGCGAGAATAATTGTCTTGGTGCCCGGATTGCATCGAATAGCCGATGCAGGCAGATTGTTACGCCGGGTTGTCTGTCGGCTCCGATTCCGGGACGGAAGGCGAGTTGAAAGGCGGAAGAAAGAGAAAAATTTATGGCGAGTAATTAGTCACGTTGTTATTCTGATTTAGTTTCAACGACGAGATAATTTCTTTGGTGCTCGTAATATTTGTTGTCCGCTGTAATTATCGTCGAACAAAGTACCACTAGCGAAAAACAGCGGCGAAACAAATGCATGTGTACATTACACAACCGGATTAATTTATACTTTAATATGCGGTACAAGAGTGCGTTCCTCTTTATATTACAGTCTGTTGAACAATAGTTGTGTAACTCGATGAATGAGAGAATAAACTTTCTCCTGCTCCTTGTCTCTTTAATGCGTTCTCACTCACATGTACCGCACATTAATAGAAAAATGACACAAAATGTTACAAAATTGCAATATCGTTCTGTCGTTGAATTATATGAAAAAAAAAGGGGGACAAGAGAAGAGAACAACGCGAATAGGTATGAGCGCGGTGAGATGGATGACGGGAATAAAGAGTTAATATGACGACGATAACGCAAAGAATTATGCGCTGCGTGGATTTACGACGCGGTGAAATCTCGCGCTTCAACGCAAATGAATCATAATCTGTCGGAAGCAGACGGTTTATCGATAACGAACCTGCATGGCGATAAATTTTTTCGCCGCCTCGGAAGCCTGTCTACCCATTTGCCGAGGCTCAATGACACGCACGACCATCTCGCCTCTCCGCTCGACAGCTTCAAGGGCCGCCGCTGTCGAAGCGTCATGATCGTTTTCGACAGTCTCGATCTGCTTGAAGATCTCTGTGCTGATCCCGCTCACCTGCAACGGTAGGTCCTCCCACTTCAGGGAACGTATAACATAGCTTCATGCCGTCACGCGCGGATCGGTGAAATTGCCTCGACGACGAATAAAATGTTCTCCGTATGAGAATTGCCATTTTTACTTCGTTAAATAATGAGAAGAATGGTAACACGCGGAAATCACAACGTAAAAGTTGCCCATAAATAGTCAAGTATCTGCAAGATACTTTGCCCTTGCTAGTTTTTACCTCAGCTATATATATAGCATAAATATATAGCATAAATATATATATAGCATAAATTTAGAAAAAATGATTATATATCGTTATATAAATTTATATATAAATCATACATAATTATACAGAACCCATAAATGAATTTTTTCTCTATATAGCCATACATATACAGTAACCTAACTTAACCTAACCTAACCTGCTTGAAATGCTCACTTAAAATATATCAGAAGAAATGTACTGTTCCACAAACTATTTCAGACAAAATTGATTTTAAGAAAGCAATAACAGTGACCTTGCCTAACAGTGTATATAACAGTGGCCTGACTTTGTTCAAACTATTGTCTGAAACAATCTTTTCGCATCATGCATTTCTCTCGAAATATTCTAAGTAGGGGATTGAAAACAGATCTCTCGGTATCATTCGGGCGGATTCACACCTTGGCAGAAAAGCAGAAAGCAAAACAGCAGAAGCCAAGACAGACTATCAGCGCGACTTCTGATTGGATGCTGTTTTTTTGCCAAGGTGTGAATCCTCCCTTATATATGGAAAAACACTCCAAGCGTGAAACAAAAAAAATATTTTCGTTCATTAAAACATTAACATGTGACAGTCTACCACAAACATAAGTAGTTGCATTAATTGTATTACTACAACAGCATATTTCTTAATGTATGCGATCATGTACAATTATGTGTGATTATATATGGCCATATAAAGATGAAATTCATATATAATCATTTTCTTCCGGACAAACAATATTTCCTGTGCGAGCCAATTGGATAAGCTATATAATGTATCATCAAGTCAAAAATAAAAGCTTAATGTATAGGTTTGTAAGTGCGTCTTATTTTGAGATACTTGATTAATTACGGACATTTTAACACATCACTCAATAAGTTCGTAGGATGACATATAAATGGCGCTACTATTGACAAATCCATATGATTTTTAGGAAGTACTAACCTTCAAATGATACGTGTCAAAATTTCATGACAATCGGACGTTTAGTTCAAAAGTTACGGTGGTTTTAGTGACGCACGACGTCGACTCGTTTTAGCAACGCGTCGACGATTCAGCGGGCTGTTTGGAGCTGTTTCAGCGCAATAAAAAGGATTTTTTGATGCGATATGTGACAATGGATGAAACATGGATCCATCACTACACTCCAGAGTCAAATCGGCAGGGAAAGCTCCAGGGAAAGAGATTTGGCTCCAATGAAGAAGTGATTGCCGAAACTGAAGCCTTGCTAAAACGAGTCGACGTCGTGCGTCACTAAAACCACCGTAACTTGTGAACTAAACATCCGATTGTCATGAAATTTTGACACGTATCATTTGAAGGTTAGTACTTCCTAAAAATCATATGGATTTGTCAATAGTAGCACCATTTATATGTCATCCTACGAACTTATTGAGTGATGTGTTACATGCACACATATATATACACAATTGCATTAATTGCATAGGAACTTTTACTTCCTCGATGTAAAATCCTTATTATATTCGTCGGCAGACTCATGTCTGGTGTCATAGTAGACGTCACCGTTGTTTTCCACATAACATCCTGTCGCTTCCTCCGCGGAGGATTAAGAGAATGAAACGATCGACAAAATTTAAACCGGACGTATTCGATATAACAGCGATCGGATCGTTTGAATAATGTATCACGGCTAAAGCACTGATACGTCTCTAACAGTCGTCGAGACAGCTTCACGAGCAACACAATAGAGCCTCGTAGGATATCGGAATCCCATCGCCCTGCTGTCCGCCAATTGAAGTTTGCCGACACAACGAGCACTAAATTCGTCCATTGTGTCGGCAACGAGTTAATGAAATGTCACTACCTTCCTGAAGTCTCCTTGAATGACCATGGGGGGTGGTTCCTTGGGGCGCAACTGGTTGGCAGGTGCCTGCCTCCCAGGACTTGCGCTTATGTCTGTCACTTCTCCTCGGCCCTCCTGCAATTATAAGACAATAACCGATTATTTCCATAGCCGGTTAGTTGGCCCTGTTCGAGCGTTACATCGCTTATGATATCGCTAAAGGACGGCTAAGGGGCTGAATAGAGAGGGACGACGGTCGCGAAAATCTGACATTAACTCAAGCAGGCTGTTCTATCGATGCTGTTCCATATAACGCCTGATATGGCCTGACATCAAGAAAACTCGAATCCCGCGAACGTCGTTCTCTTCATCGAAAACGGATCAGTCAGGGTCTAGATCAATGATAACCGCAATAGCTAAGCTACGTACGTAACCACGACTTCGCCTACATATGTCACATACTCCGGTCAATCATAGGCAATTACGTAACTTGGATTTCCCTCGTCTTATGTCATTTGCTACTGCACAGTGCTTCGGACGATCGCATGATTCCGATGATAATTACAGTAGGTTGTTGTTGATTAATAATAAGTGCATGAATAGATGACGTGCGTGCTGACATGGTTGTTCGAATTATTCGAGCATTTATATCGGTCAGTTCACAAAGTGAACATGCTGTTTGATAGAGAGAATTGTTTGAATAATTCAAGGAAATTCCATCATTTAATGTCACTTATAAGTTGACGAGCCATCATACGAAAATTCATGAGGCTCACGGAAGGCGGAAAGCACTTCTCGAGAGCACGTGACCTAGAACCACCATGACACAGGCATGAATGGTATAGTTTCGAAGCGGAAATTGTTGTACGTACTATATATATTCACGGAAGTTAATTGAAATTTATTTGGCAGGTCGCCGCGTTTTCTACGGATACTTTTCAGGCGCGATGACCTCCATCAGTCTTACCGAGACATTTCCTACGAATAATCCATATAGTCTTTATTTACACGTCTCTCGATGAAACAATCGCATTACTCGCTGATATTGATCGAAAAAATCACAGTGAAATATTCCTACAAGAACAAGAGGTAACAACCATCCACCTTTGGAACATTGCACATCGAGAGAATCACGTGTCATTTCCCTAATCGCGGAGCCTTGAATAGCCCAGGATCTCACGCTAACCTCGATTGGCATAATTTACGGCCATGTGCGTGGCAATAAGGTTATCGGATGCTTGATTCACGACGGAGGATCGCACTCATTCCGGCCGAAAACAACGCGTGTAAACCTGAAATCCCATCAAGATTCTCCGAGGAGCACGAGAGGCCTTTAATGAGAGGCCCGATGTTTCATTTCGGAAACTTATCAACCTGTCGCACTTGAACGTTACGAGCTCCAGCGTAAATCCTCGCACTCGTTGACCGTGATACCGCCGGCAGGAGCCCGCACCTTATCGGAATTTCGCCGAGAGGAACGCACCCTCGCTCAGCCCGAACCACGAGCGCGTCTCGAGCGCGAACTCATCCACCTGTCACACTCGGACGAGAGAGAGAGAGAAAGAGAAAGGGGGAGAGAGAGAGAAAGAGAGAGAGAGAGAGAGAGAGAGAGAGAGAGAGAGAGAGAGAGAGAGAGAGAGAAAGAGAGAGCCACAAATACCGGCGTAAATACTCGCGCACACTGACTGTGGCGCCAGGCCAGAATAGAAGGGAGCAGCTCACTCCGACGGAGATCATCTCTCCCTTCAGAGGCATCGCAAGACAAAGGTGCCTTCGATCGACTGCACGCACCCAGAATAAGCTCATCCACCTGTCAGCACACTTTACAGTCACTACCGGCAGGGCTGTTCCGGCTGGTCGAACACAGCACGACACTATTGTGAGAAAGAGAGAGAAAGGAAGAGAAAACGCACCCCGCGAAGGCATGTGACCGGGATGAGCCACGCGGCGGTACCGCACATCCGCTCGCAGAGCGACAGCAAGGACATCCACGCCGCCGCGGCCGATTTGCAGCCCCTTTCGCTCGCCACCGACTCCTGGAGCTCCTCGCCCTTCTTGCCGGCCCACCACCGCCGGTCCGTCTTCTCTTTCCGTCTCTCGGTATCATCCTGCCGGGTGAACGCCGCCGCCGCCGCCGCCGTCGCGCGTGTCGCGCCACCCCATCGCGGCGGCTCCATGCGTGCGCGAGTTATCCTACCGAGTTAGCGGTCCGAAGACGACCGGCCGGCGAATCTTCTTCGCCTCCCTTCTACCTGTCCCTCTCTCGAGCGCTTCCGCAAGCGGCCAGTCTTTTTCTTCCGGATCTCACGTGACCGGCGAACGACGGAAGGGCGCACGTAGTACGAGTGTAGGTGCTCGATGAGGATGAGAGTGCGACGGACGGAAAGAGAGAGAGAGAGAGAGAGAGAGAGAGAGAGAAAGAGAGAGGGAGGGAGAGGGAGGGAGAAAGAGAAAAAGAGAGGGGGGAGAAAGTGTGCAACGGAGAGAGAGGAAATGAGACAGGGATGTGGAAGTCTAGAGTGAGGGAGAGAGAGAGAGAGAGAGAGAGAGAGAGAGAGAGAGAGAGCGCGTATTACCTTGCAAAAGAAGAAGCACCCCGAGCCACCCCTGTCGCACATCCTCGCCTACCCCATGGTGGCTAATATGGCGGGAAGCGGCGCTCAGGAGCGTACAAGTGAGGGCGCGCGTGCGCCACTGCCGAGAGGTTACCGTGTCGCCGCACGCGGCGGAGTATGAGTGAGTATCGATCCGCTGTGACGTCACCTCATACCCCGTAACCCCCTCGACGTGCCCCTCGCACCCTCGCCAACCCCTTCGTTCTTGCGGACCCCCGTCGCTCCCGCGACCCGTCCTACGCGATCGAGCACTCCTACTCCATCGCAAACGTACGTACCGTCTACCAAGCCGCCCCCCTTTCCCTCCTCCGTGCCCTGCTACCTACGCCGTCGCCACCCCCGCGTGCCCTTGCGTGCCCATTCGATTTCTCTCTGTCGCGCCAGCAACTTCTTTCGACCGTCATTCTCTCTTCCCTCGCCGGTCCTTACTCCGTCTGCGTTGCCCTCCCGGTCCTCTCTCCTCACCTTCGCCTACCGATCGTCGCGCAACATCCCCCGATTCGCGCATTCCGCCTGCCGTATCTGCGCTCAAGTAACTCCGAATATTTCGGCAGTATCGCTCACAAATTTTTGCTCAGCCTAAGTTACCAGCGCAATCAGCTCCCTCCCTCTCTCTCTCTCTCTCTCTCTCTCTCTCTCTCTTCTTCTTCTTCTTCTTCTTCTTCTTCTTCTTCTCCTCGTTGTTCTTTTCTGTTGTTTTTTCCTCACTGTTTCTTTATTCATCTTCGTCGTCCTAAGCATTTATCCCGACTACTACCCTGTTCAGACAGTTGTCCCGTTTTCCTTCAAGCAGTTTTCCACATGCTTCGCTCGTCTCTCCTAATTTTTTTCACGTCGTACTCTCCATCTCTTCTTCTCGCTCTGTCTCTCTCTTACTCTTTCTTTCTCTCGTCTTCTCCTCCCCGAGAACCTGCCACCTACCTCCTATCTACCAACCGCGACTCTCCTGAATTGGATTTTCCCTCGTTTCGCTTACTTACTTCTTATTGCAGTCGCTAGCACTCCACTTACGGGTGTCAGCGGTCGCGTGGGTTACCCTTCGACCTCACGGCGACGGCAACGACGACGACGACGACGACGACGATTATGGCAGCAGCAACCTTGTTCGCACCTTTTTTCCACAACAGGGCGGATTTTTACGACTCGTGAGAGTGGATTTCTTTGCGAGTCCTCTAATCTGTGCACTCGTCTTCTTCTTACACTCGTCAAAGTGGTCGCCCATTACTTCCGCCTTGACGATATCCCGGCTTATTTACCTGTGTATCCCTCTCCCTATTTCGGTTCTTCTTCTTCTTCTTCTTCTTCTTCTTCTTCTTCTTCTTCTTCTTCTTCTTCTTTTTCTTCTTCTTCTTCTTCTTCTTCTTCTTCTTCTTCTTCTTCTTCTTCTTCTTCACTTCGTCCTCTTCTTCTCACTTCCCTTCTTCTTGTTTTATTTACTCTCACTCGTTTCTCCACTCGATATCAGTTTGCACATCGCATATTTTTATACGCGACTTTGTATCATGCCTCATATTTCCCTGGTGACACTCTTTCACCCGGCACGTATTCACTCTTTTTGCGATCTTTCGAAGCGCCTTCCTACCCCTACCTTCCGCTGCCCACTCTCGCCATGTTCGATATAGTATTTGCTTTTTCTAGAGGTTCTTCACCCTTCTGTCATATCTGTTTTCGAGCCGGCTACCGTGCCGCCTCATCGCGCTAACTTCTTGCTCCACATATGACGGTGGTACGCAACTCTATTACAAACAGCATCTGCGATTTAAAGCCGCTCGGCCCCGGCTGCAATAAATAAGCCTGAGGCGACGGACAAACGCGAGAAACGCCGGTAATGTACTTTCCGAAGTAGTCTATATCATCATCCTCTCGTTGACGTATGCGAGTCGTTTTACAGCCGGAGGGGGTGACTCTTTCCCGAATGAGAGCGAGTACGAATGCTAGTCGGGCGATGGAAGATACCGAATGCTGCTGCAGTCGCCGTCGTTAAATTTCGAACAGTACTTCCATTAAGAATACTCACACGGTCCGCTTTATTCGCACTCGGACAGGATGAAACGTAACAACAAGCCCGACCGTGGTCGCGGGGCAAGAATCAACGAGACGTGGGAAAAGTGCCAGATACAGGGAGCATCTCACGAAGAGAGAAGAATCTTTTAATTAGAAGCCCAATTTAAATGTCAACCGTGCTGCACCGTTTCATCTCGCTCGAGGAGACGAAAAACCAACGTAATAGCGATGTTACTTACAGCGAAATAGCGGAGCGACTCCCCGTGTCGCCGACGGGGTATCAAAAGTTACGGCCCGGGAATCGATCCCCGATGCTGAAATTTCGCAAATAAAGCCGCTCGTGCAAGCTCCGTCCGCCAAGAATCCGTCGATAGAAAGACGGAGCAGAAGCGTGAAACGGAAACGGACGGACGTCTCCTACGAGGCAAACTGACTCCCACCCACCCATAATGCGACGATTCCCGTAAAGCCTATTAACGGTCATCACGATCATCTGGGCCACGAAGATCTCCTACGGAACATCCGCTGCGAAAATCACGACCAATTCGACGTCTGCTCTCTCTCTCTCTCTCTCTCTCTCTCTCTCTCTCTCTCTCTCTCTCTCTCTCTCTCTCTCTCTCTCTCTCTCTCTCTCTCTCTCTCTCTCTCTCACCCTTTCTCTCTCTCTCTCTCTCTCTCTCTCTCTCTCTCTCTCTCTCTCTTCACTTCTGTTTCCCCCTCTTTTCCTGCTCCACCTCCACCTCTTTCGCACCGGACGCCCACACCCTCTTGCGCCCACCACAATGCCCGTCACTATTTGACCGACGTATCCAGTGACCTAGGTAGATGCCCATCACGATGGTCACGAGGAAGGGGAAACAGGCGACCGGATTCTTCCCCACCACGTGGGTGCACGACGCGAGCATACCGACTGTGATGGGTGATAGTGATGATAGTAGTGCTAATAGTAGTAGTAGTAGGAGTAGTAGTAGTAGTAGTAGTAGTAGCAGTAGTAGTAACGATAGTAACACGTTGTAACACGAGGTCGTCGGGAGATGTTGTACTGGCATACGCACGGTATATTAACGCGCCACGCTGCACGCACATTTTCCTCCCTTGATTTAAAACCGCCGCACGCGCTCTTTCTAGTCGCAGCAGCGGCCGCTCTCTCGCTGACGTTTTGAAGACCGGAGTGGGCGGAGAAACGCCTCGCAGGGTATATCCTTGATATGGCGAAAAATTGGTTTTCCGATTTCTGCAGATTTCCAATTTACGCCCGTTCAATTTACGGCAGTTACGTGAAGAGTGACTATCCACTTATGCACGAGGTTCTGTCTCGCAGCGAATCTCAGAATTATGAGACCTGTCTGAGAATTCTCAAATTCCGCAAATTACCCTGTTATCACGTTATCGTATGTTATCATACTATTACTCATCCAGAATGCGTAATATTTGTGAAGTGTATAAAGTTCTGATGATTATTAGTGATATCTGTATAATATACGAGAGATACCTTATAGATATTTTGTAGAGATATGCAAACTATTCGAATTCGGATCGAATTGAATCATATCTAATGTAATTCGATTCGATTCGAATCCGAATCCCTATGATTCGAATCCGAATAATTCGAAAATTTCGAATCGCGAAGATTCGAATACGAATCAAATACATTAGCGTGTGCGCGCATCAGCTACAAAACGCATCAGCTACGTATTTCTTAGATTTATAATTAATAATTATTTATAATTAACTTAACTTATAATTAATAACTTAATTATAAATTACTTTAAATATTTAAATATATTTAAATATATTTTATTTTAAGATGATATTACAATATCAATATTCCTTTTTATATTAAAATTTTCCATCATTATTTGCATGTTTAATAGTCATGTTAAATTTTTTAATGATTCGATTCGATTTCATTCGATTCGATTCAAATTCGAATGAAATTTCATAGATTCGATTTGATCCGAATTCGAATTTAAAAAATGAGATTCGATTCAATTCGATTCGATATAAAAATTTTTGATTCGCACATCTCTAATATTTTCCATATAAATTTTGTTCAACTTCGTCGTACTTTCTAATATTGAATAAATATATTGTTAATAGAATTTGTCTTACTGCGAGTCGTAATAAATTTTGTTAAGAAATGTAAATTTGTTAATAGTACTTCAGTGCCCAAAACATAAATAGCATGTGTGGAATGGAAAGAATTTGGGGCAGAATGTCGATACATTCCTCAATTACAAAATTCTATAGTAATTTTTACTATTATTAATATTCTTTCTATGTTTATATAAGGTGTCTGGGGTTGAAAATGACTACAACTTGAAAATTTGCGTATTTATTTGCAAAATGGGAAAGGACCTTTTTCAGAATGACCTATAGTAATTATGATCTATAATTATATGACGACTATTGTGCCTAACAATAGGCAGAGTTCAAAGTTCAATATACTCATATCTATTGCTAGACACAATAGCCGTCATATAATTGTAGATTAAGTCATTTTGAACAAAAAAGTCCTTTAACATTTTGCAAATGAGTACGCAAATTTTCATGTTATCAATTAAGAGAACCTCTAAATGTGGCCATTTTCAATCATTAATAACTTAATAACTAATGACTTAATAATTTGCGATTTTTGCAAAATAGTATTTAATTTTTCTCTTCAATTTGATCTAATTAATTTTCACTTCTCATTTCGTATTTTCAATTTCTCATTTCGTAAAGATCCCGGATACTCTGTATATTAACGCTCGTCATTCCTCTTGTCGTAGTCTTCTTGATTGATAAT